AAACATCTTTATTTATTAGGGTAAATATTAAATCTGATCAAGTGAATGTTTTTTAAATTTATATTCATAACAAACATGAATGGATTTTTGAATCTATATATATTTTTTACATATATAATCATTATGAATATAACTATAATCATACGTGAATATAACTATAATATTTTTTTTTATATCTATAATCATACATTAATATAACTATAAGCAAATAAACATTCGTTTATGAATCATTCAAGATATATACACAATATTAACTATTATATATGTAGTTTTTAAATATCTTAAACTCAATATGCAGGTTTGAATCCAAGAGTAGCAATGATCAATGATGCTTTTGTTTTTCTGTATGATGCAAGATACTACTACTGTTTCCATCCATTATATGACGGGTTAGCCCAATTTTATGTTGGGCTGGGCCCATTGATTAGAAAGGGCTAGGCCCAAGGATATGTATGGTATGCGGTATTTTGGGAAAATCACTAAGCTTTGTGCTTACAGTTTCATGTTTATGGTTTCAGGTATTTTCAGTTCGAAATGGGAAGGGCCCGACGTGACTGCACAACCTCCCCCAGAGTTAATTCCGCATTTGATTAACCGTGATCGTTACTCTGATGTTTAAATACTAATTTTCACATTGAGTGATTTTGGGAATAGAATGTTATATGAATTAATGTTTTAAAAATGACAAATTTTTCATGGATTTTTGGAACGTTACACTTGGGTTATTGATAAAACATATATCAACTTTAATTTCATATGTTTAAGATGATGATATATTTTTATTTTGTTAATTTTTTTAAATTTATTAAACAGATAATGTTTTTGCTTCAAATACATGCAAAATGTCTATTTTACTTAAATCAGACAAACTTTATAGTTTGTGATCAATAAAGAGTGACATAAATTTTCTTTCTCAAAATCAAATTTTTTACAAAGGCCCATCAAATCAAGTGCACCATTATAAAAGGATAAAACACTTATCTATGCAAAAATGTTTTGTTTTCTGTCGACTTATAGAGCAAAATGAATTTCTTACTAGTTTATGAAATCTTAATTTAATTTAGGGATAATGATTTAAAATGATAATATACTTTTTGATTTGTACACATTTGGTTACTGAGTTTTTTTTTTCGGTCCACATTTGCCTCTTGAACTTGTTTAAGTGTATAAATTCGGTCCTTATGACCGGCTACTCTAGATAAGCCGGAAAGAATGTCTTAATAGGTTAATATATTTTTCAAACTATGTCCTTGTTGTTTTGTACACATTCAGTACTTATGAACGGTACCTTTAGGCTTTTCTCACGACACCCTACATAGGACAATCATTAATGAGGTGTTCGAGGTTGTTCTTGCTTATGGCTACTGTGACCTCAATTGTTTGGTGTTTAGGTCTTTTGTTTTGAACATCGTAACTTCTTTGTACGATCTCAGATTTTAACGGTCTTTATATCCACGCGTTGATATTTGAGTCTACTATGATTTTCATTTAGATTACTCGCATTAAAAAGTAATATATTTTTACTCATGATTTTATAAAAAAACATTCATACATACATTTATAAAGAACACATGTATATAAAGATCATAAGTAAAAATTTATAGTTTTTAACGGGAGTAATCTAAATTAAAATTGTAGTAGACTTAAATACGAACACGTGGATATGAAGATCATTAAAATCTAAGATCGTATGAAGAAGTTACTACGTTCAGAACACAAGACCTAAGCAACAAAACAGCTTAGATTACTCCCATTAAAAAGTAATATATTTTTAATTACGATTTTATAAAAAAAACGTTCATGTAACATCCCGATCTTCAAGAATAAAATTATAAGGAATTTTATGCATTTTGCCATAGGACTCGACGAGTTGGGAGGCCCCAACTCGTCGTGTAGA